TTACTTTGGGCATATTTTCTAGATAAACTAGTGCTTGGAGAAAGACATCATATTGGGAAACTTAGAAGATCAGCAAAAGAGAGGAAGCCCCTCCGTGAGATCGATTGGCACATAGCCTTGAGCATGGCAGAGATCAGGATAGGGAAAAATCTGTTGTTCATACAGAGTGGCTGTGAGTCCTTGTCTACTCGACAGCACTCAGAAACAACATCCTGAATTCTTCACCTTCTCCTGCCTCTGACCTGAAATAACTGTGCACTTTCTTAGCTTCTTATCTCTTACTTGGGTATTTCAACTCCTGTCTCTTAAGCTCTGGTTAACCTAACCATTTGCAGTCCTAGAATCTGACTAGTGATCTCTGCTGGACAGAATTCTCAGATTCCGGATGACACACAACTATGGGTCAATAAACACCAAACATGCTGTTGTATTTATTCATTTAGCATAAAGAAAAGAGTAAGCTTTATGAATAAAATAAAGAATACATTTATATAACTAACATTCTTTCATGAAGAAAACTGTGTGGTGCAGGCTTTGGATCCAAAGCTAATTGCAATTCATAATTTAGGGATGGATAACATGTTTCCTCATTCCCAGATAACTATAAAGAGTCAAATAGAGTGGATTCCACTTTCTCTTCCTTAACATCTTAATCTTCCAACTGGTCTGATAGGAAGGTTGACAGCATAAACTCTCAAGCAGCAGCCAACTGGCTAAGAATATTCTGCCCAGAATATTTGCTGAGATTCTATTGAGAGCAAAGTGGAACGTTAAGGTCATCAAGGTCCTTACAAAAGGCATGTTTTATCAGGTCCCAGTTCTTGAAATCATTATGTTGAATGTCATAGTGTGACAGGCTGATCTGACAGAAAAGCAAAGAAATATCTACCTCTCTTTCTCTCTCTCCTCTCTCCTCTCTCTCTCTCTCTCACACACACACACACATATTACTAAAATAAGTACTCATCCTCCTGAACCAAGCACTAGTCACAGGGGGTGGGTGGTGGGGATGCAAACTCCACCAAATGACTTTGTCCAAAGGAAAAACATTAAAAGCACTGTCCACCAAAATGATAGTAGCTAGTTAAGTGCAACAATGAATGAATGGAAATCCTAGTTCTTTATAAACTTTTATTAAAATCTCAATTACAAAAATCATAGTAGCTAGTAATAACAACAACACATCTTTAAGATAATTGGTCCTTGGAAACTTCATGAACAGCAGCAGAAATAGTTAGATACGTGGCTAGAAGATGAGCCCCTCAGGTCAAAAGGCAACTAAAATACACATGGAGAAGGGCTGCCTCCTCAAAGGGAATGGACCTTAAAGCCTTGGATGTAATAAAACTTTCAGGCCCTACATTTGCCAATATGACACGACTTAGATTGGGAAGACACAGCTGCAATAGCCAGGGTGTGGAAGAGAAAATGCATGGCTCTAGGAAAATTGGAAGTTATAAAAGATGAACTGGAACACAAAAGAGCAATAGCCTAGGCTTTCATGAGTTGAAACAGACTGGTACTAGCCATTCTGAATTATGTCAGTTTGAAGACAAAGGTGCACCTGATTCAAGTCATGGTCTTTCCAATCACTTGCAGTGCATCTGAAAGCTGGACAATGCATAAGGATGACAGAAGAGTTGATGCTTTCGAGCTATGGTGTTAGAGTATTGAATATCCCATGGACTGCCAAAAGAACAAACAGAAAGTGCAGTGCGAGTGCTCCTCTGAAGCAAAGATGACAAAGTTTTGTCCCTCATACTTTGGGCATGTTGCTAAGAGTGGCCATTCCTTGGAGAGGGACATTATGCTTGGAAAGAAAGGAAGACCTTCAACTAGATGGATTGAACAGTGACTGCTGCAATGGGCTCAAGTATGTTAGAGAGATGAGGATGGCACAGGCTAGGAAAGGGTTTAGATCTGTTGTTCACAGAGTTGCCGTGAGTCATACTCAACTCACCAGCACCTCACAACAGTAACACAAGGAAGAACAGTCCACAAGAATACTCAAATTTATGCACCACCCACTAACGCCAAAGAAAGATCAAACCCTCGAAATGCAAACTCATTGTCTGCAAATTAGAACCCAGTCATAGCTGACCCTCTACTGATTTGCTGAAGCTCTAAACTGAAAAAGAAAGAAAGAAAGAAAGAAAGAAAGAAAGAAAGAAAGAAAGAAAGAAAGAAAG